AACTAACACTATTTGATTGATCTTCGTATACTTCTTGGATATTGGTTGTAGAATCGATTTACGATCACATGGTTTAGTAAAATGATTATATTCATTATCATTCTATTTTTCTTCGGAGTTTAAATATACATGAGTGGGTCAGTACCAGTAGGGAACAGGACCAATCCTTGCTTATTGATTTAAGGATAAGAAATACCTAATCTTGGAGAGGAATTGATAATTAGCTATATTAAAATATAGCCGTTCACCCGACTTAGAAATCAGGTTTACAAGGTTAGACGCTGAATACAACCCAAAACGTATCACGTGTATGTTTTTGTTTCCCGAGTAGCCACTTGATTGGGACGATTTCCATGAAAAGAAACTGTTTTAACATATTTTTGTGCTGCAAACCAAATCTCAGCCCTCCCACTATTTAACCGTGTGCCAATTTCTTACTGAAACGTTGATTAACAACAAAAATTCGACAGTTTGGACCGATTATTTAGAATGTGGAATCTGGTGGGTTGGCAGAAATCAATCAGTACTGGGACTATTCGTGCCAGCTTTTGATCCCGAGTCAATGTTTTCTGTCAGTAGGAATTTATTGTCAACCTGGTGCATTCACAAGTGTGGATGCTGCACGTAAATGATGGCACCATTCTAGCTGAGTTGGTAATACATGAATAAAAACTGAAAACTAAAAGAGCACCGGTTTTTAAAAGGAGAAATTATGACACCAGACTGTTGATTACCATTGGAGTTGGGATTCAATAGAGCAATAAATTTATTGCAAGTGAGATATTGCAGTAAATGAGCTCGGATAATTGCCAACAACTTTTGCTGGAGAACCACAGAAGGAGGACACACAGAAAAATGGCCCATATAGCTTCTTTCATTTTAGAATAAATTGATCTATGAAGTAACTTGTCGAGGATAGTGCAGTTTTCGAACATTCTGATGAGTCTGTATGGATAACACACTTTCTAGTCGGTCGCCAGGGTACAATAAATGCACTTCAGAAGCAGAATTCTACATTTATACATAGCAACCGTATGGGTCGCTAAGGGTCTACCCATGCTGTTAGGTGTCTTGCGTCGACAATGGTCTTTCACTGTCCAAATAATAACTTACTATTTGTATGACTGGAAATTGTCTTAATTGTTTGTGCTGAAACCAACTTGGTGTCCGTTCAGGTGGATAATCCAGTCATGAAATTGAACACATTCATACATGCGCAGCATTTCACCTCATTCTGCATTGTCACAATTTTAAAAGATCCAAATTTTCCGCTAGTTAGTAGTAATGAATAAGTATTTGGTATTTGGTATATTTTGTACGAATTTTCTTACGATTTGAAGAAATAACTATTGTGGATACATTGTACGCCTTATGTCTTTGGTATCTTTTTATACAAATAACTGCGATATGGGTGTACGGTTGAGATGTCACTACAACACAGTCAAATTTAAATATGAAAAAGAGGGGGTTCCCCAAGAAACTACCATGGTAACGAATGACTCTAGTATCCTATAACTTCCTAAGGCAGAGGAATAGAAAATCTGGTACAAAAATTGCAAACTGTGACACGGAAAAGCGTTTCTTGCTACTGAAATGTGAAAAAAACCGTGTACCTGAGGAGACAGTTTGGTGCAATAGTAGTGCAACAGCGTTAGTGCCATGAAGCAAAAGGCAAGTAGCAAATAGCAGTGATTTCCATTGACGATCATTCACACGTTGACTTCACGTACAATCATCAGTTCTTTCAATCTATCATACACCCAGAATCATTAGACTCAAATTTCTCTATTATATTGGGGCTCATCAGCAATGCATATCCTTAGTCCCTTCCGAGGTTTGAACTCCAGACCAATCGTATGGAAGGCGTATACGTTATCATTATGTAAAACCGCTCATACACGTGCTGAACCGAATTACCAATTCATATTTGTACTCGTGTCGTCTTCAGTGATATTCATTTTTAGATCGACAGCAGTAAAGCCAAATTTATGAGAATTGTGAAAGCAGATAGTCAAAAATGCCTCAGCATTTCTATGTATTGTGGACAGGACAAGAACACTTTTCGTCTTTATTGATTGATAGGGAACTAGCAACTGCTGATCATATGGAACGTTTTACTTGCAACGCACACACCACACCGATTATTGCCTTGAAAACACAAACACTACATTTATTCCACCGCAATTCAGATTCGCACCTTCATTATTCTGCCGCATCCAGGATGAAGCAAAAACAACGTGCGACATTCGTCTACTAGACAAATAAGAGTGCCTGAATATTCCGGTTTGAGTGGTTCTTCCACCGAGGCCAGAACCGTGAGCTTTATAGGTACCTGTTGAAGAAAGATAGCATAGGCCGAATTAACCGTAACAAAAACATTCTCATTATAGTCGTTGGTTTAAATCCATCTGATTATCATTCTCCCTCTCTGGGTGCTCCTACATGAATGAGTTATTGTCTTCTAATGCTTACGGATAATAATTTGGGATTTTTTACCGCC